AACAGTCATATTCTTGCGTTTTCAGGCATTGTATAGTGATTTGTTGTTTGCAGAGGTTTCTGATTCATTTTATTAAAATCAGAGAATATTATAGGTGAAAGGAGACTAAGGTCATCTCATGTCAGTTCCCTCATTTTTCAAATAAGGAAAGTAATAGCCAGAGGAGGAAATGACACATGACAAGGAACAATTAGTTTCCAATTATGTGAACTAGCTACTTCTGGGCTAAAATTAGCATTAGTTTTTGTTTGTTTGTTTTTTTAAAGATTTTATTGGGAAATCAGGGGAAGGGTAACAGACAAGTTGCTGTTGTTTTGTTCTTCAGTCTAGTTGTGGAGGATGTTGCTTCACTGGCCCAAGTGGGCACCATCATTTCGCTCTTCCTGGGTGAGGCAGATCAATCGCCGGCTTCTGGAAGGCCGCTAACAGAGGCTGCTGGCCGCTCACGCTGGCTGCCGGCTGCACACGGTAGCTTATGGCAGCCCACTGCAGCAGGGGCTGCAGCCCACGCCGACGCCGGCAACTCACAGCCGCCCAGCCCCAGGTTGAGCTATTGTTCAGCATCTTAGCTGTGGAGGGCAGTGTCACTGGCCGTCATATGTGGGATCCGAACTGGGGCCCTCTGGCATCCCAAGCCAGTTCTTAACCAACACGCCACTCGGCCAGCCCAGCATTAGTTTTTGTTGTTTGTTTTTTCATGACACAGCAAAATAGAGACCAGACAACTGACATTTGTTCACTTGAACCCAGAAATTTAGCAGATTTTCAGATTAGAATTTATCGTTTGGTTACCTCTAGGATGTAACTAACCTTCCTGATGGAATCACTTGCTAAAATTGGCTTATTATCCTGTTTTCTACTGGTCTCAGCCTCTCAATAATTACTGCTGTGGCTGGACCAGCCCTTCTTATTATGATTGAAAGATACCCTTCAGCAATAACCATCAGGAAACTTTGAAAAGATACAGGTTTATTACTTAACAAGACCCGGAAATTCTACAGCACACCTGGGGCAAGCAAGGTAGCAGGTAGAGAGAGAGAGAGAGAGAGAGAGTGCTGGGGCCTGGGGTTCTGCTTTTATTGGGGTGGAGGCTTTTCACTGCGGTTCACTCTTTATTGGTGAATTTAAAACATAAGAGGGGGAATTTAAAGTGCAGGAAGGGAAAACAAACAAGTGGCCCAAACAGCAGTTATTAAAATCAACTAAGATTTCCAAAACGAAAGAGCCTCAGTGGGGAAGTCGGCCTGGCTGTTGACCCAGTCCTGTGGCTGTCAGTGTTTATTGTGGATAGTCGTCTTTGAAGTGGAGTCTCCCCAGTCAAAGTTTAAGTCAGGCACATCCATTATAAAAAAAAGAATAATAAAAGAACTGTAAGGGCTTACACTACCTATCTACCCATGATGAATTTAATAATTGTTT